TACCTTACCTACCTTACCTACCTACCTACCTACCTACCTTCCTTACAAACCTACCTACCTACCTACCTACCTACCTACCTACCTACCTACCCATCTATCTACATGTGGCTTTATACGTAAGATATGAACAAATGGTCAACTGCTGTTTTTGCGGACGAAGCTAGAAACCCGGGCACCATCACTGGCGAGAGCGCAGCATCTTTGGCCAGGCTGGCATAGTACGGGTCGGCTGTGGGCGACTTGAGACCTGGGTTCAGGGCTCGCAAAGCCAGCGCAGTTGCCGATGTACTTCTGTTCAAAAACACCGGTGTGCATGAATTGCGCACACCACGCCGCGTGACATTGGGTTAGCTTTCGGAGGTTGCATCTTTCCTCCGAACTCACTCCGTGTCATTCCGATGGGACATATTTATGCTTGTGCGGCCGCAAGCCGTCATATACACAAATTGGCTAGAGATGTTCGCGGGAAAGAAGAGGCAGGTGGTTTGGGAGTGGTCCTGCACCATGTGCTTGTGAACTCGGTTTGAGTCGGAATGCAATCCCTGTCTCATGCTCGAGCCTCGCTTGTTCCGAAAAGGTACTGCTTGTTGTATGCCCAGATTATTTGTAGAGCCCGACCGGGAAACCTACACCCATGGAAGCCGCTTGACTGATTCTTGCTTTCATGAAAAACCACGACACAGGGTCTGTCATATGATGATTAAACAATTCTTCCGTTTGGCAGGAGTAAACAATAGTCTTCGAGGCTGGGGGCGGCTGCTAGGCCTCGGAACTCCACATACCGGAACTCAGCTTGCAACTCCCGCTGTACCATGTCTGAAGCCCTACCTGCAGGGAGGCTTCAATCAGCCGTCCCTCGATTCGACATGGGACCCCGAATTCCAAAGAAGCAACCTGTCTTCCCAACCAAAGTCTTTTCTGTTGTAAGAAGAGCGCCCAGAATCAGAAGCAACAAAAAAGGCTCCAATCCGTCTCTGATGGTCGCAACACCTGGCCATGCCACGCATCTCCCGAACACGGTTCAGGATCCCAAAGACGGGCCATTCACTCCTAGGCCCGGAGAACAGGCGACTTCAGTGCAGTGATTCACTGATCCTCGTAGACCCCAGCGTGGTTTGTAGCCATCAAAGCCCCGCACAAACCCGAAGACACCGACGGAGCCGGCATCATTCTAACCGCCACAACAGCATGCAAGTTCAGCATTAGTTGTAACCGAGCCTACCCTACGGGAACAGCAGTACAACCAATACTGATCACTGCTTTTCTCTTGTTCTTGATCGCATGTGTGGTAGATCATGACGGGCACGACTAGCATGATGTATTCTATGGTTACGAGTTTCCATGTGCTTAGTGTCGTGACTACCTACCATGCTTGCTGTGTTCAAGACCTTCAACTTTCTGCCGAGGCTCGCAAGCAGATTGCTCCATTCGGCGCCTGCGTGGCTCATCGCCCGGGCCTTGTGTTGAAAGATCGCGGTCAAAAGGCCCCGAGGACAGGTTGACAGCCCCAGGGCCACGAACCCAAGGGGAGAGACCAAAAACCGAGTTGCAATTATCACACAAGCTCTCGAGCGGCTTCAGCCACTCGGACTGAGGACTTAAGAGGTAGCGCGAGGTATGTATGTGTATGTACTTATATATTATGTGAGTGTGTGTGTGTGCATGTTTGTTTTATACAATTTACATATGATCTATATACATATACATATATTTATATACACATAGTTTACTAAGACTATGGATAATGACAGCAAAAATGTCGTTAACCCCCACCATGAATCGCAGAAGCTAGAAAAACCACGCACCAGCTCTAGATTTGCAATCTATGAGGACGATGGCGATTGAAAAACATTGAGACACACCAAGAACCGTTCATGGAAGCACCTGGGAACTCGCAGGAAAGCAACCACCCAGAAACAGCACGAGATTGTGACCGAAGGCGTTGGTTCACTCACAATATATTTTGCTTTCACCGGGATGTCCTTGAGGTTGCAACCCTGAAGCTTGACCCCTGGTCCCATCATGTCCCATCTGGGTGTCCAGGCAATCGGGGTCATCTCATGTACCAGGACTTGGATCTTCAGGTCAAGGTTTTCCTGAGCGTGGAAGGCCCTACTCGAAGGGTTCAGACCGTGGTTGAAGAGGGCGAGCAGTTGTTATCGGTCCTGCCATTCTTGCTGCTATTGCTGCCGGCACTAGTCACCCTTGTACTTGTGATTCCCGCGATACAGTGGTACTGCCGTTTCCTGGGTGGCTTCTGGCAGCCTTCAGCGCTTCAATCATTATACTTAGCATCTCAATGCCAAGTGCCACCATTCTCAACACAGCTATGGTGATAAGTCAGAGTTGAAGTAGTAGTGAGACTCAGGCTAGAATCGCGACAACTGCAACAAGGTTGGCAAGACAAAAAGAGTGAGGTCCGCCAACCAGGCAAAAGCCAAACAAGAACACACCACAATGTGATAGTGACAGCAACCATACACGACCAAGCACAGCCAGTCGTGTCAAAATTGTAGTAGCAGTGGTGGTGGTAGTAATAGTAGCAGCAGCAGCAGCAGCAACGGCAGCTGTAGAAGTAGCAGTAGCAGCTGGAGGAGAAGAAGAAGAAGGTGGTGGTGGTGGTAGTAGTAGTAGTAGTCGTCGTAGTGGTAGCAGTAGCAGTAGCAGTAGTAGCAATAATAGTAAGTTTTAGGAGTAGGAATAGGAGTGGGGGTGGGAGTAGGAGTAGTTGTAAGAAGTAGTAGTAGCAATAGCAGTAGCAGTAGCAGTAGCAGCAGCAGCAGCATGACGAGCCAGGAGTCGTTCCTTTTGTGCTTTGAGCGTCAATGCAATCCAACAGAACAATTGACATCGTGTGCTCCAGGGGGCCATAGTGTACGGTAGAAGCTGGGTCAGTGCCGCAGCAAAGGGGCAGCTGCGCTGCAGCACCTCCCTCAGATACAGCGCAAATTCACGTTTGTCTACATATGATCTGCGCGCAAAACATGCGCACTTGCGTGCACAACCTGTGCATGGCTTGTGTCCACGGATCCTTGTGTGGTTGCAAACATGCAGGCGCACGTGTGTGGATGCATGTAGCGGTTGTGCAGGATACACGTACTCGAGTTAATTACAAGTACTTATCAAGTGGGGGCGATTGATTATGCCTTTTCGGGCTTCAGGTGCATGCTTTGCTGCTGACCCCAACGCAATTTCAGTTGCCAGTTTCGACTGCTAATGGATCACATGTGTTGCCACCCCCAGCCGACCCAAATGAAGATGTCATGCTACTTGTAACCTGTCCAAGATTCATCGGCTTTTCGCAGATAGAACTTCCGATTTGCTTCAGTCTTAGACGGGGCTGTGTGTGAAGCAATCCGTGCTGCTGTGCTGCAAGAGTGTTCGTTATCATGTGCTGAAAAAAGTAAAAGCTCCAGCAACCCTGTACAGGCCCGGCTTGCAGCCCCGTGGCTGAAAGCCTGTAACCAGGACGAGCAGGTAGTCCTGGGTGAGCGTCTCAGAGGAGAACGGAGCCTGGTCAATGGTCGACATTCATCATTCGCGTGATCTTTTGACACCCAAACATGTATGGCCTCGGTATTGTTGTTTGGGCCCGATACGTACGGATCCACCCAGTGCTGCCAGATTTCTATCCACTTCTCGAGAGGTTGGTCCATTACAGCCTTTCCGGCCGCGAATTGTTTGGGGGCAACCTTCTGTAATTGTTTGAGATATTTGTGAGTTCAGCTCATGGAAACATGAAGGTTGAATGCTGGCTTCAATGCTTGAACTTTGCGGCGGACTCAGGATCTCGAACTTTTCATCAAGCCACTCGGATAGGATTTCTCATACAAACAGCTTACTTGCGCAGGCTAGCCATCCAATTCCCAAAGGAGCAGCACAGCTTAACACTAACCACAATGCCGCGAGGATCCCTCAAGGCATCTCCGAATCGCTCCTTCGGGGTGTATTCAATTCAGCAATACGCGCTCATCAGCAAACAGCATCAGCCATCTACAACTTTCGCAAGGAACGCGACTTCATGTGTTGGCGATGTGGGTGCCACATGTGGGACATCGCGAAAGTTGGCGGCCGGTGTTCCGGTGTACAACATCCAAAACGGGGGACCGCAGCTGGTACTTGTTTCGCGCTCGCTCTGCCACCATAAGCCCGCCTCGCTGCAGCACATGTCCTCACTGCTTGGGAGGTGGACGAGGAAGTTGAGTACAATGTCATGATCCATGGTGCTGTCAGGTGGGGTATAAAAGAATGACAAAAGCTCAGCAGTTCCGAACCTTGCACGTAACTATGCAGGCACTACAGTAACATGCACATCTGCAGCTCCATGAGAATTTGCTGAGCCGCTCTAGTGATATCTGTATAGCTGGAAAGGGAGTTCTAGATCGTTCTGCTGTGGATATCGTGACACCTGGCTCGGCTTCGGACCCGCGATTGACGCTGCTGAACACTTCATGACTTGATGCGTCCAGGGCCTCTAGACTCTAGCCTCAGCCCGTTACCAGTCCTGAAAAACAAGTTAGCTTGAACCTCTAAGTAAGACGGTGGATGCGAAATCTGAACCTTAAAGGCCTCGGAACGGCACGCCGGCAAATCTGACGCAGAAGGCTGCAACTCCTCGAGCCATCACAAAAGCCTTTCGACAGTCCTGGAAAACACCGTAGATCCCTTTCCCCGAGGTCTCTATTCGGTTGCGGTGCACCGAGGCTCTCGATGCTTGTCGTCGCGGAAGCATCCAATGCTGGGTGGCTCGTGGCAGCACAGAAACCGCGGGAGGTGGTCGAAGCAGGTGCGCTCCTTCGCAGGAACAGTTTACAAAACATGTGGCGAAACACAATCACAAAACCCCAAAAGCTATGACAGCTATGATGTCTAATACAGAACAGCCAGCCAGCATCAGAAAACACGCGACTTGTAGCAGTTTGCTTGTAACATCGCGGCAGCATCACGACCACAAGAGCGAAGCTCAACAACGCTTCGTTCCCCAGCATACGAATGCGCAATAACGACATTGACAGAACCATTAGCGTCCCAGGCACCGAAGCTTTGATCAGCTCCTGTAGCGTGAAGAGGCAAGCACCTCTCAGGTCGTCACAGTGATCAAGAGCAGGTCGTGGTCATTTTCAGCGCTTCCGAAGTTGCTGCAGCAAGACATTCGATGTTCCCTGTGCTGGGGCAGGTTGCGATGGCAAGCAGGAGGCCAAACCAAATCAAGAAAGTAATGAACACAACAACGCCCCCGGCTGGATGAACACCTGAAGCGAACAGCTGCGGCTATGGGCAAAGTGTTTGTCACGCCCGAACGACAGCATGTGCACTCTTGCACCATGCAGCATACGTATGCGCTTTTTTGTTGCTGGCTTGCGGTTAAGCTCCGGAATCTGCCTCTGAGCCGTTCTGCTTCGCAGATCAGCGTGAAGGCCAATTTCAAGGACATGTGGGCTGCTTAGCGTTCCGAGAAGTACTGGGAAGCTCAATTCGTGGTTTTGCTGATTTCTTTTTATAGGTCCTAGCAAAGGGGGGCGCACAATTTGAGAACAAGCCGTGCAACACAAAGAATCCCTTGCCCCAACGCTAAGTGTCCGCATGCGCGGTGGGCCAGATTGACAACTTGCTCTGGACCTGTTCCTGATGGAACCTTGCCTTGCCCACGGTCATGGGTCCAAGTACCTATAGCAAACGCATGTCGCAATCTTATGAGTCCTGTTCATCTTACTTAGCTCCTCGAAGTCATTGTCTTCCTGGGCCACGGCTCTAGGCACCGAGACCCAATCGCGAGCAAGGTGAGCATGAACCATATCAGCGACGCCTTCATAGCCTACTCCGTCGCATAAGTACCTTGGGAGTCGTGGCCCTCGAAGATAGTAAAATCGATGAGAAAGGTCAGCCCCAAAAGGCCAGCCTTTCTCCTGACTGTTGCCTGTTGCGGGAAGACGACCACGAAGGTGTCGGCGGAGCTGCAGCACTCCTTCTTCCAACCTGCCCACACCTTCCGTACCTGCGGGTGTAGGGATCGCCGTATTCTCCACCGACCACCTCGCCGGTCTCAGGGTGGTGGAAGTAATAGGGGATGTACCAAAGTCCCTTTCCGGTGCAGGGGTCGCAAGCGATGCAAGCACCACCGCAGCAGGTCTCTGGATGCACGATGTACCTCCACGAGACAGGGAATGCAAAGGTCTTACTTACCCACTCCATGGGCGCGCTGCCTCAGGATAAAACAAACAAGCTGAGGAACACTTCTTGGTCTTCCTCCTTGTATTTGAACTTGGGAACGTAGAGGCAAACGTCGCAGTAGTACCGAGACTCAGACCTGCAACTCAAGATTGCAAGGGCTTCTTGGCACTGGGATGTCGGGTGTGGTCATGTGAGCGTGAACAAAGGTCACGGTTGTGGTTTTCTTGGATGTTTTCGTGAAGGAGCACATTTGACATTAATTTGGTGCCTCTTCGAGTCTAGGGTTGCTAGGGAACTCCCACCAGTACTTACAATAGGGATCCGTCTGGGGCCTAGAACTGTCAGTGCCGAACGGCTGAAGCGAAGATCCATCTGGAAGATGGGACGTCATCATCGGGAGGCAGCAACAGCATGGGCAGTCGTAGTTCCCATACCTGACAAGTGTAATCTGCGAGGCTTAAAAAAACTGCGGGCGACACTTCGAGAATGCAGTCCAAGCTCTAAAAGACGGCGGTCGACTGCTCCCAAATCCAAACCTCACACCCTAATTATATACTGGCATCGGAACTGTCACTCGAAGAAGCATCCATAACACTGCGCACTCCCCATTGCTCAAGTGGGAATGTCAAGCAAATCTGTCTTCAGGTTGTGTATCAGCAAGTAAGCAGCTGCGGCTCTAGGTCGACAACACGTTTCCCAGAACCGTTGGACACCGACGGCGCACTTGCTTTGGATGGTCAAGCAGATCGCCGGGAATGTCAGGGGCTTGTTAAACTTCCTCGGCCAAAAATTAGTTAGGGACGACGGAAAAGGGTTTCGTTGTGCCAAGCTGACTGCCGTCAGGCTGTGATTTGACGGGACAGGACTTCTGATTGGGAGTCGGTGGATGTCAGTGGGTAGGTTGATGCTCTGCGGAAAACCGTAGCTCGCGCCGACTTAGCCGTCGGAGTCGAGTCATCGGGATGCCTGCCCGTTTGCCAAACCTTTGCAGCGGTGTGTAAGGGTCAAAGCGATGCTTCCTGGGAGCTGCACTCACAGCTGTGACGTTGACCTGATCCTTCGGCCTCCAAGCACGAAACATCTAAGCACACCTTTGCACCGACCACAAGCTCAAAGCAGCCCAAGCATCGCCACGGGTGGTCCTCCGGGACCTCCTGTGCATGCATTTGATGTATGCACACGCTCTCATCACATCTACTCGCGCGATTTGTCTGTCTTTCGTGCGAATCTACCAGCGCATCCATGTCACTTTTTTTGTGCACTTCCGTCGCGCATGCTGTCATGCACACCCTTATGGGCAGACCCGGTCTGCAAGGTCCGCAAGCACGAGCAGCATGCATATCTTGATATTCTCGTGTACTAGACGTGCATGTTGGCTTGCCCGTCCTTTGCTCACAAGTCGTTACTGTTGTTCGTTCCTACTGTGTGGCCTGTCGCGTATTGTTGCAAACTACTCTCTTTTACACCGCTTGCTAGCCCTTATACATGTACATCGGCAAACTGAATGTGTCGGTATGTTCACGCCCGCCAACCTCCCAACCACTCTACCTCCGTACGAAGCATCCCACCTGCTGTACCTACCTACCTACCTACCTACCTACCTACCTACCTACCTACACCCACCGACCACAGCATCCCGGCCTCGGGAGACGTTCATCTCGAAACCACGCCCGGCCGGGTTCAAGACTCGGCAGCCTAAGTTTGTATCGGTCTCTGGCCTTCGCAGCTCCGAGATTCGCGCTGTGCGAAAGCTTCGGATCTTGGTTTTGTCGCAGTCACAACTTGCAACTTCCAGGTGGGGCTTCAGTCTTCAGGGCGAGGGATGGTCTCAGGAATCCGGTTCCCTTCCCAGCGACAGGCTAACTGGAGAATTAGCATCCCAAGATATGGGTTCTAGTCACCTCCTAGCTGACCAGGTCCCAGGGAAGCGACTCCACTACAGTCACTAGGGCAAACAGGAAAAGACTCACACGGCCAAGGGCCCAAGCTTCTCAAAGCAGTCCCAAGGACCCATGCCGTCCTTACGAGAAACCCTGCCAACCCCAATTGCCAGTACCAGGTTCTAGTTTGCCTCGTTGAAGGATTGTAGGCTTTGATTCTCTGGGCCGTGAGACCAGGGGCCTCAGCCCGCAGGACGCCGATCCCGGCAGCCAAGGCTCTGGGTTTATTTGTGGGCCCTGGAGCCTTGAAAACGACGAAAGTACAAGCAACAACTCCAGCTTTAGCTCGGCTGCAGCAGTTGGACTCCTCGATGGCATACCTGGGATGTCAGGTCTTGAGTCGGACAAAGACTGTAGCATCTGCAGGGCCATGTTGAATTGATCCGACGACTGCTCCGACAGTGCTTCGGCCAAGAGACATGGTCTCCGGAACCTCTAGAGCATGATCGGATGCAGAATCACCTGTTCGCAGGTGCCATTCTACAGGAGGCGAAGCTGTTTGGCAGTCTAAGATGTCCCTGCTCAGTTGAGGGGTCAGGACTCAGGACTTTTTCGCGGGGCAGCCGGGTGCGAGTTTGCAGTATACGTGGCAGTTTGATCAAGGACTGGAGATTGTCGTTTCGGTGTCGGAGCGCATCAACTACGAATGCCGATGCTTCAAAACGAAGTTCCGTCCAAGACCTACGCGGCCTCTGATGCAGCCCTTTCACCCCCGGAGAAAATGGAAACCGCTACACGTACCCTGCGCCACGTAGCAGTACCACTTTTAAGCGGAATGTTGGAACCCACGCTCGTTAATCTTGAAAGAGTGGCCACTGTTGAGGTGGCTTTTTCGGTTTCCTGACCTCCTTCACATCTTCGCACGGAATGTTCAGGAAGCCAGGGTCCTCATGCTAGACCAGTGGATGGCCCTGGAGCATAAGGGCTGAGGGCCTTTTGTCTGGATTCATCGCTCCTACCTTGGCCTAAGCAGTGGAAGTCCAAGCGAAGCACCCCAGCTCTCCTAGGCTAAAGACTGAAACCGGAGACTGGCACCTAAGGACCACTTTAAGAGATCTATGCCGTCGAGTCAGTCTAGTCTGTCTGAGGCGTTTTTGACCACGAAACAGATCGCACCCGCCCAATCGGCTTGAACCAAAACCCTCTGCCTCTAATGTATAGATACATCACACTGAACCACCAAGCCTGCAACCCTGAAGCCACATATCCTGAAACGCTAAACCATTATAAGTGAATGACCCCCAAAGCACTGAAGCGCTAGAAACCTCGAGACTTGACTCGTGCGGAGCTCGCCTCGAATCTCACCAGGGTCTAGCGGCGCGATCTTGTACCTCAGACACCGGGGTTGTCACTGAAAGTAATTCTGTTTGGAGGAATCGCGATATTTCATGCGGTCTTTAGGAATGACAAACTCCCAGTCTTGAGCATTACGGACGCACCTTCAAGCGCGCAGCCAACGCACAAGCAAATGCTTTCCTTTCCGAGCCTTTTGTGTCGCTGTGACCTCGGGACCCCCGGGAAAGACTACGACCCCCAGCCCAAGCCGCTACGCCGCAAATCCGACTTTGAAGCGACAAGAGGCTCAGATTTGGCGTCGCATCCCAAACACTCCTCTGGGTTCGAAGGGTGTTGGCAGTGTTTGGAGCTCTCCAAGAACTGTTAGACAAGGGTTCCATGATTCGACTGTTGAGGTACGAGTATCTGGGGCTCCAAGCACTCCCGCAAAGTTTTGCGGAAGGGCTGATCTGACCCCCGGATTCTTGAAAGCCAACTGCCGCACCTGGACAGTCCCTCTGCTGCTTACAGAGGCCTGTCTCAAGAGCCTGTATCGACAGAAGTCGCTCCTGGATGCATCCTCGCATCGTCTGCTTCACGATCAGCCCGCTGTGGGGCTCTAGGAGAGACTGCAACATGCCCATGCCCGTCATGTCCTGCCTAGGCTTCGTCAGAGTGCCGCAATGCACCAGACTTCTGCGTGTTTGCAGCCAAGCACTCAGTGTTGCCAGAAACCATGGCTTGTGATTGTGCAGGTAGTCTATAAGGCAAAGAGGGAAGTATTCGATGCACCAAATATCACAAACAAGCAACATCGCTGATAACGACACATTCAGCGATACGCAAGCACAAGAACATACTGAAAGGCTCCGACGAAGTGGAGAAAAACTACACGCGTGCAAAACTACAGATGACCATGTCCTAATGCTTACTTGCATAGCTGCCGATTTCTTTCTCTATCTATCTTTCTTTCTACAAAACGTATCGTTGTATCTTTCTGTTTACCTAGGTATCTACCTGTCTGTCCATCTATGTCTATGTTGATCTACCTACAACGAATAACTCTATCTATCTTTGTCTAAATCTTCACCTTTACCTATCTACCTAAATTTACCCACATCTATCTGTATCTATCTATATCTGCATCTATCTATATCTAAGTATATATACCTGTATCTACCCATCTAAATTTACCCATATCTGCCCATCTTTATCTATCTATATCTACCAATATCCAAATGTATCTACCTGTATTTATCAATATGTACCTGTGTCTGTCTGTGTCAGTTTGTCTATCCATGTGTCTGTCATCTATCTGTTTACTTGTCTCTCTGGATCTACAGGTCTATCATCTACCTATCTATATCGCTCTCGGTCTCTCCTTCCACCCAAGTGCACATGTCTACAGAACGGGTGTGCAACACATCCAGGAAAGTGATTCATGTAAAACACCGTCTCTCCTTATATGCATATACACCTGTAGTTGTGCACGCACTTCATGATTCGTGTCCCACATGCAGAGCACAGGTGTAAGTAATAAGCGGGAAGTTGAGGCGCTGCTCCGGAGCCATCTCAATGTGTGGAGCTCCGACTACTTCGCCTTGCACGACCCCGGGTGGCAAGTCCATGGCCCTGCTTCGGCGCTTCGGCCACCACTACGTGGGGAATCTCTTGAGCCGCATCCTCAGTGCACGGCCTTTGCGGGGAAAGAACGGATTTGGCAAAGCAGCCCCTTTCAGCCTTCGGCGAAGGTAGCATCCTGCCCATGGCAGGTCGCCACAAGGAGGCCTCGCAGCTTTTGAGGGTTGCTGTCTCTTCTGTTAGTTACGTTATCGAGGACGAACGCTTCTGCAGCAGTTGAGCTTTGAAGCCAACACCGAACGTGGCTGTGGGGGAAGAGGGAAGATTGCCCAAGCATGCCCGCAAGCTCAACTCACTGTGTAAAGCGAACACCACTCATTACAATCTTCCACTCCAGCGCATTTGTAGTCGTGCAAGTGTCGTGCATGCATAATCCCAAGCTGCTGAACCCGAACCTGTATACGATTCAGTTCGGTGCCTTTCAGTGGTTGGCATCACCGAGTCTCGTTGCATGGCATACTATACACGGGATAGGAAACAGTTCCTAGAGCTCAACCATGTGCAAGCTTCAGGGCCCGGCACAGAAGCAAGCGGCAAAGCGGCCAGCGAGGTGCCAACATCAGCTGCACACTTCGCCAGTGCTCTATGTCTTATCCAAATTGAAGCTGGGATGTGATGCTGAAGTTCAGTTCAGATAGGGAACTTGCAGACTTACAGAGTTACGAACCATTCATTCGGGCACGCCCGAAGCCCAACATTTCAGCTGGCTCGGATTGCATGAGCTTGGCAGCGGCTGGCTAGTAGACTTCGGAAAGGATGTCAGAACAGATTGTATTTCAGAGGTGGCAAAGGAAGTCGAACATGGCACGAGCTGCTGCGACTTCCTAGGGCCTGAAGTGGCATGGCTGCAGGTCTTGTTCCCAGGTTGTCTGTTCCAAATGGGGGGATGGGCCAGCTAAAACAGCCAAGGCCAAGGCCTTATTGCGAAATATGTAAGAATTGTCACCCACAACACAGCTCTCAAGAACATGTGTCTAAAGTTGTGGACACAGAAAACCAGTCTTTCATCTAACCTCGACATCGTACTAGTTGAGCTGGCATCTTACCGACGAAGTCTCAAACACCTCCACGCTTTTGAGCGCCACGCCTTGTCCGAGTCCGTCCAACCCGGCAGTATGAAGCCCACTGGGAGATTTAGGGCTGTGGCTGCTTCCGTTGGAAAAAGGGAACCATAGTCAGATTTGGACTTTCATGGCTATTTTTAGCTATGATCCCCGCCACAAGCATTGCTGTATCTGTGTCGGTGAAGATGTCGATGGTAAAAGCGTGCCACCGGGCTGAAGGGGAAGCAGTCGACTGAACTACTAACATCATTCGCTTGCTGGGCCTTGTGCTCGCTTTCGTCGTTGCCGTCACGCCAAAAGCCTACATTGACATACACAAGCAATCTTCTCGACTTTGATGCAAAAGCTAGAATTCAAGTCCTGCCTGTTACATACACCACATGAGCACATCAAGCTCAGAACCGGTTGAAGGGGTAGGTCTCAGTGGAGAGCCCGGCAACTGGCTCTGCGCAGGTGTGTGTGTGTGTGTGTTTAAAGGCATGCCGGTGTATATACATGCATCATTCCTGTGTATACTTACTCCGAAACCAAACGAAACCAGAGATACAGATACGTGCACGTTGAATCCTACTTTCACAGGCCATGGGATGTTTTTGGTTCTCCCGGGCTTCGAACTCCACGCAATGGAATGCGGAAGGATTGGCGCAGTGTTGTTGGGCAGTGTGGCGTGTCAGCCTCCGTGGTAGTCCTCCCTTCTAGTGCTGCGGAGTTGGGACAGTCTTTTTTAGATTGTGAACTGCTAGCAACGTGCGCATCTGAGTTGTAGTCGTATGTTGTGGTAGGGTTCACAAAGGTAACGGTAGTACGCATGCCAATGTGACTATCACAAGGAACAGAGCAAGAACAATGTTATGTCGATCATGACGCCGGCGAGGAAGCTTAGTATGTCCGATTTGATGCCCAAAGCACGAGCAGAAGTTGCACTAAAGTGGCGGAGATGTTGCTGGACCTACTCGAAGCAGTAGAAGTGACGACGAGATTCCAAGTCGTCGTCGACATCGACGTACAGCCTTCGCACTTCGTAGTGTCGGAGATGGTAGTCGTCGTCCTAGCCGTTGCGATCGTGCTAACGGCGGCGGGTCGTCGATGAGATTGTGGTAGCAGTGCAGCCGTAATGGTCACAGAAATAAAGAGCTGGCTAGCAGCATTGAACTCATTATAATATGTCATTAATGAATTGTATTGATAATATTATGCGTTGTTGGGATGGCTCTGGCGGTGACAGTTTGCGCACGTAGAGTAGTATGTACCTAACCAGGTCATAGTTGCACTATCCAAACTAATCTGCCCAAATAGTTCTCGCAGTATACTCACACGATGAAATGAGAAGCTATCATCGCACACCTCAGTGTCAACTACCTGAAACTGGATGTCTCAACTCCCCAATGCTAAGCCACTCATCACGTTCCATCTACGCTGGCTACGGCAGATAAAAGACGATTTCAGGCTCGGGATCAAAGGCAAGAGGGCTACCACAGAAACCTCGCCGAAGGAAAGAACGCGAACCGCTGGGTCGAGTCTCGCTGCCCAGACACCTGAAGTAATACTATCAGTCTAGGTCCTCGGTGCTAGATGGCTAGTGTCGAACTCAACCAGCACCTGTCTCTGGCCCTTCTTTTAAGGGAGGGCTGGAACTCCCGGTGGTAAACTTCATGGGGCTGTAGGACCACTTACATGTCTGGCATTCTGCAGGTTCGCAGTTCTAGCCTTCTATAACCTACAAGCTTCCAGCAAGCTAGGCACTTGCTGCTGGCGTCGAGACAGAATCGCCGGTATTGGAACAGCAGTGTGATTTCAACACAGGCGACTAGCAAGAACATCTTTCTTTTTTGCCTTAGTTTCTTGGCACCTGCTCTGCTGAACCGGGGAAATGGCCACAAGCTGGGTGCCTCTCTGAAACAGAGCTGCGCCCTGCATAGGGCAAGGCACATCGGTCTTCCTTCACGACTTCTGCGCTGACCGACGCTGCACTACTGAGTTAGGACTCACATGGTCAAGCTGCTGCCTCCGCCCTGTCTAAAAACATTGGTGGGAAAGGCTGTTTTATCCAGTTGGTTCACCTGCGCCACATGCCGCCAATCCCAAAGCAAATAGCACCAATGCAAGGACGCAAACGGCAAAGCCACTAGCCTTCAAAAGGTATGCATGATCTCTTCTGAGTACCTTCCTCTCGGCTTCGCCTAGAAAGCTGATGTCCCACACAGGCTTTGCATGTCTAGTTCCGCTTTAGGTTCAGCGGCGGCAGCATGATGGAGTTTGCCCGTCCAGCTTTATCTCCAAACGTGCCCCGCAGGGCAATGCGGCTTGTGCTTCCGGACCTGGGCGGATGCCAATGAATCGGGCATTCTGCAGGATGCGGTGCTGGGCTTCGCATTGCTTGGCCCATGCCCTTGGATGCAAACATGTGACATGTGCCCCCGAACATGTGCTCCCGAATCTCACTAGTGCCGCACACCCAAGTGAATCATGCAACCGATATAGGCGCATGCGGAAAGCTTTGCCCAAATCGCTGGCCATCCCAACCCCCAAGTGAAGCGCTCCAAACATACATACATGTGTATGTGTGTATATATATACACACAAAAAATAGCTAAGACCGTTAAGCTCTCAGAATCCGCAACCCTAAATCGCAACTTCAACCCCCACCCTGCAAACTATCCTCCAGCAAACAGAGCCCCTCACCCAACGCCAGGTCAGGTTGATCCGTGCACCAAAGGCCGGCTCTTTGGGGACCCGGTGCTGCGTGTGCTTCCTGGGAGCTTCTTCTAGGCTTTAGGGCTTTCGACTCGGTACACTTAGGGCCCTCGATGATTTGGACCTTACGGGTTTAGGGCATTTTCACTCATACTTCAAGCTGCTACGACCGTTATGCTCCTGCTGTTTGTTTATTTGGCCTACCACCGCAATTGCTGTCGTGTCATTCTGTGTCGTGTGTACGATGTGTACGATTGTCGTAATGCTTCTGGCCTAGTCGTGTTGCGCTCTGATTAGGCTTCAGGTTTTCATGGCCACTACATCACTGTTTCTTGTTGGTGCTAGTTGTTGGCTACATTGATCAAAAGTTAAGCTTTCGAGTGTTACGGTGTTTCTGCCATCGTTGCTTCTTAGTATGATGTCCGTTGTTTCGTTCATGTTGCGTAGCGGCGCAGCATTGGATTTTAGGCCCTCCCGGTTTCCTCGCAAGGGGATTTGGAATGCACGCGGGGCCAGAAACCATCCCGTCACGACTATTGAGGCCTCGCCTCAGCATGGCTAAAGCCACTCATCACTGGAAGAGCGTGTGTTGGCCGGCAGTTCTCTGTGATCCTCTGAAATCCTACCATCATCCTGCGGCCCGAATATAACACGAGGATGCTCAGAAGACGCCAAGCATCACAGAAACATACAACAAGGAATCATCTTGCTCCTCATAGCAAAGCAAGGAGCTGGGCCATGCCCTCCATGGTCATCAGGTCCCCGCTGCCGAGCACAAAGCGGTGGAGCACTGCCTCTGAGTTTTCGGAGTCCAGGCTTTGGGTTCTCTTGAACCCCAAGCTTGCAGCTGCGTCTGTGCATGCAGGGTACTAGGAAGGTGGAGGGGGTTGCAGGATCTAGTGCAGGCCGGGTTGACCTCGAGGTCTAGGAGTCTAGGACCTCTAGGAGGTCCAAGAACAAAGGGTGGCCCGACTCTCGGATTAAAGGAAACCCCAAATTCAGATCCACTCTGATGGGATCGCTCGGCTTCTTCGGCACAAGCCTTTTGTTCGAGGATTTTTGGGAGGCTCTTGGAGCAGGCGTTCTCATGGGACCAGTGGGCAGAAGCTTTTGGGGCGTCGAGGGGAGCTACCTGGAGATGGGCCTTTTTTGTGGACCCAGGCCTTCGGGGTTTCGGTTTCAAGTCTCGGATTTCATGCTAGGGCCCTTTAGCCTTTGGGCACTACTTCATCGTCGCAGGGCCGGAGCGCGACAGACAGGCTCTTGCTCGCCAATCTGTCCTGCTGCACGCAGTCTACGGGGCTAGAGGCACAAACCCGCCAAGCACAAGGACCCCAAAAGTCTGAAGCATGTGAAGTAACTCGTCCAAATCAACTCCTAAACTCCGGGTATGGCGGATGCATCTACAACTCATGGTGTGACTTTTGTTGACATCCTGCATGTTCAAGTTCAGGTTGGAGCAGGGCAACTTGAAAGGGTTGCAATGGAGTTGTCGTGTCTGCGTGCTATCCTGGGCACAAAGCCATCCCCTGTCTGAGCGAACCCAGAAATTCGACATTCGAAAAGACACATAACCGAAAATGCAGCTTGGACGAGCCGACACGACGAGATCTATTGCTAAAGTCCTAATGACCAGTATTATTAGTGTAGAGTGTGTGCAGTACATTACGGTTGAGGGTTGAGAGGTTCATGGTCTGAAAATTAAACCTCGAAGCCACCCAAAAGACGGCACAACCGCGTGCTCTAGAAGAACTTCGACTCGTGCATCCCTGTGTCATGTCTGATTCGTAGGACTCGTCTGGTTCGCAGACTAAGCTCATGTCGTTTTGGCATCCTACCTAACCGATGTGCTTGACTATGAATTGCGGAAGCATAGAAACAGAAGGTTTTCTAGCAAACGTATCTTGCTGTAGCTACCTGCACGTCTACAATGCAGGGTAGGGGAGGGCATGAAGTCACCAAGCGGGAGCTGCAAAGGCGAATGCCGCCGCGACTAGGTTCCTGATGGCAACTCGTACTGCTATGCCAATGCGGCATTTCCTGCCAGAAACAGAATCGGTGAGTATGGCAAGTGTGGCTGCACTTCGGGTCTATGAGACATCAGGGGGATTGCATGCTTGTCGGTGCAAGATAGATCAAACTAACAACGAAGCCACAAACTGCATGACTATGGCAATGGGGGGTTAGTACAGGATGAGGGGTGTCCTAAGTGAAACACAGCATAGGGAGGTGTCTTTTTATGCAGAAACTCATAGGTCAAGGGGTACTGCTGTTGTATGTTGCATGGTTGAGTGACAACTTCTCGGATACAGCGATCAAGAACGATAATCTGGACGGTGCAATATGGCATATATCAAGTCACTATGCCAAAGCGACGGAGGGATGTTTCTTTGGGATGTTTGAAGCCATGTTTGCGAACTTGGTCCTGGTCTTGACTTCCTTCGGTTCAGATCCGGGACTCACTGGTCCGATGGCTTTGGTTTATGCAGTTCAGTTGCTCCAGTGAGCAAACGTGGTAGTACACGGAAGCTTCTGTCACGTTCAGAGTTCGGAGTTTCGAGGCTCCTCCTCGGGGTTTCCAAGATTCCACCATGTCCACGAGGCACTACAGCCGAGCGGCTTCTTCATGCTCCTCCGGGTAGAGGTAGCGCAACTCAAAGGTCCTGTAGGGAGCAGACGAGGAAGGGACGAACATCCAAGTCAAGTGGTCACTCAAACCTGAAACATGCAAGCCCATCAGCATACATGGAGAGAGAGAGAGCGAGAGAGAGAG